GAATTTCATAGAGAAGATGTCAGTTGACTCTCAATAGGCAACAGGGGCATAAATTGACTAACAGGAGTCACAATTACTATGGTTGCCAGTGTGCTGTCTCCTTGATCCCATGGAGTGACAACATCTTCTTGCCTTGAATGAGTTGGGGAAAAATGTTCAGGACTCTTGTGCTTTGATGGCATAATCAGTTTTTTATTCCATCTCTTGAAAAAAATGGAAGTTGAAGTATTAGATGGCATGCCTAAAGAGAATAGAACAAGGAACATGAAAGATGTGATTCGTACCTTGGCAACCACTTTGAACTTTTTGCCAGTTTGCTTGGCTGTAGGGATGAGTTTGCAGATCAACATGTCCCCACTATTGGATGGGGAAATAATTACTTCTTTTTCTCCCTTCAAAGGAGGGTTGATCGACAATGGTAATGGATAACCCTCCCCAGAGTTTGTCTCTTTTGATGTATCTAGAGAAAGGGGAGTACTTGTCTTCCTATGGACGAGAAAAGTTTCTCGAGTGTCCGGCTCACCAATGATAGGCATCAGTGGCTGCTTGAGAAGACTTAACCTTCTTTGAGGGATAAGTAGCAGGACAACTTTGCCTTTATTTGGATTAACAAAAGGAGAAGGGATAGAAGTAGAAACCTCAATTGTTTTCTTTTTCCAGCTGGCAAAAGTTTCATTTTCTTGTCGATTTTAAAAGCACAGCCTAGACACGTATTCATCTATAGAATCAATGAAAATCAAGGCTGAAATGTTCTACCACCACTTTGAATGGAAGGAAGATTGAGATGGGTTGGAAACAAAATGAGAAAATCTAAAAGATTCTAACGATTTCTCATAAGCCATTGAGATGGGTTGGAAACAAAATGAGAAAATCTAAAAGATTCTAACGATTTCTCATAAGCCAGAGAAATTTGGTGAACTAGAACATTTGATCTTATTTTTATTTTCTTACTTGCAGGTTTATCGATAGAAGGATGCATGTAAGACAAAGAAATATTTTGAGTCAGACCAAATTGTCTAGCAAACTGACTAGGATCGTAGCTCTCGAAGCTATAGTTAGAAAATTTGGAGGTAGATACAGAGTTCCCCCCCCCCCCCCACATGTAGATAACTAGGCAGCGAGACACTACCCCAAAAGAAACGCTGTAATTCATTGGCCTCTTTAGAGGCTATGTTTGAATTAGGAAAGAAAGATTCAAGTAAGGAAGAATTAGAGGAACTCCAAAAAAGAAGTATACAAAGAGTTTGATCTATCTTTGTGGAGAGTGAAAAAAGCTCCAAAGTAAGAATTGAAAGTTTTATTTGTATATAAGGATAGGGAAGAAAGGAATCAATGAGCATAGTTTAAAATTTTGAACTTGAGCTTAAACAAAGATTCCAAAGGAAAAACCTTTGGGAAATAAGCATAAAGCCGAACCTGGAAGAGCCAAAATGATCCCTCACAACTGGTAGTAATCATATTCTCTGTTAGATTAAAAAAGCCTTTGTATAATGCCCCTAGAACAAAAGGGACCAAATCAAGTTTCTTTCTAGCCAATTGAATGGCTGCTCCTATATATTCCTTTGTTACTTTGAAACTAGGAACACACAGAACGAATCGATAAAGCCAATGCAGAAGGGAGACAATGTGTTTAACAAATGAAGAGGTAGGAGATTGAGAGGCAAAGAAGTGGCTTATAAGTTCACCATACCCTATACTAGAATGGATATTGACAAAGTCACAATCAGTATTAGTGGAAATGCAAGTGTTTATCTCCAAACTTGTCGATGGCAGTCCCATCATATGAAAAATATCCAGTATCGTTGGGAACAACATGCTAACAGGAAAAAGCATGGCATTGAATGATTGGGAGCAGAAACATGCGGCAATGCCAATTAGTCACTGATTCATGTGCAGTTTGCAAGTATATAGCTTAATCATCTAAAAAATACCTGAGCATCTCTATTGAGATACATAATGGGATTCTAACTTTGTAATCCAATTGACCCATTGTTGATCAGGGTTAATCCATGAACGAAGATGATTAGTTCTTGGTTCTAGAATTTCCATAAGAGTGGGATTGATTCAATATTAGGGTTTCACCTTTGTGAACAAGGTAATGGTCTAAGAATCTCATATAGACATACGACTTGAAGGAGGGACCAAGAACAAGAGGCTTAGTAGAATTAGGGGTAGGAATTAGAATCATATGATCTACAAAGTCTTGTGCTGTTTGCTTAATGTCAGTAGAAAAATATCAGTGAAACAGGAATTTTAGAGGAAGATGAAGACGAAGGATTTTTCTTCTTTGGAGCCATCTCAAGCATTGGAAAAAGTAATCGTTGGAAGAGAAAGAGGGTAGAAAGCGAATAAACAAACAAAATAAATCGAAATGAATAGTTTAGTCGTGAAAAATCTTTAAATTAGTGTTTTTGAAAGAAACGATGGTCGTGATTGTTCATTCATTCAGGTTTTTAATTATATACAATTAAATGGGGGANGCCGTGAAAAATCTTTAAATTAGTGTTTTTGAAAGAAACGATGGTCGTGATTGTTCATTCATTCAGGTTTTTAATTATATACAATTAAATGGGGGATATTTTTTGGACATAAAATAAATAAATCCTATGAATATTAAATGTATCATCTAGCACTTTCATGTAATAAGAAAATGCCACATAGCAGAATCTAAAAAAAGGTGGGAAATGATCAACCACACCCACATTTGAAAAGAAGAAATAACTAATTGAAAGTTAGCAGTTAGATAATTGTTGATGGAGGCAAAACTAACGAGTATAGTGGCTATAAAAAGCATGCAGTGGAGAAGATGAATGATACATTCAAAACCCCCACAAGACCCACGATCTAAGCATTTTAAGAGTAGTATTAGATTAATTTTAGAAAGCAATTACTACTATAATTAAGGTTGTTAATCCGGTCTTTTTTGCAATTGAAATCCCTTCAATTGAATTAATAAAAAAATTTATAATTTATTAGTTCCCCTTACTGAATGTTTGTCCATTAAAATTTATCCAAGGAAGTCCTAAACAAGGCATTTGAACCCCTTATAAGTAATCACTTGAAAACTATTTGTTGATCGAGTTTCCTTCGTCGATAACAACAAAATTTGGAGCAACATAGACTAACAAGACTCATAGTTTTATTTGTATTTTCATCGGACGTTTAAACTTACTTCTCAGTGGTTTATATGAAAATGTGCGTTTAACCCAATCTTTTCAACGTAAAAGTGTGTTTTGAAAACATTCTTTTGAAAACTTGTTTTGCAAACTTATTTTTACATCGAAAAAAATCACGTTTTTATGGAAACTAGGGTAAATTGAGAAGTAAATTTGAGATTACTTTAAAGAGAGAATTCAGTTTAAAAATTATAACGTTGATTCCCAGGTCATGGCCATCCAGGGTCACAACATGACTCTGCCATTGTTACTTCAGAAATTCTTTGTTGTCCTTATATCTTCTTTGTTTTGTTTAGTGAGGTTCGGTGATTTCAAAACATTATTTCTTTTTTTTCCATCTGTTGCTAGTAGGTGACTCCACTTTCATGCAATTACATGGATGATACACTGACATTTTAGAGAAACGTGTTGGAAGGCGGAAATAACCTTTCAATTTTACATGTACTTTTCAAATGACTCATACAATATTGGAATTCACCATTAAATCAGACAATAATATGGTGAATTGAGTTTATAAATTGTATCATTAAAATGGGTCCAAGTAGTATGAACAGATATAAGCTAGCTTGGAACCACACGGCTATAGACACTCTACATCCTCTTTAAGAAGAAATAACATTACATACAACATATTAAATTCACGTGAAAATAATATATCCTTGGATGTTGTAATAAAATAATTTCAGAACCAATGGTGGAGCCAGAATATGATGTTTGGTTTGACTAGAAAATACATCGGCCGAAAATAAAATTAAATTTAAGCATAACAGAATATATTAAGATTTAATACTCAACTAATGTATGAGACAGTAAAATCNATAAAATTAAATTTAAGCATAACAGAATATATTAAGATTTAATACTCAACTAATGTATGAGACAGTAAAATCAATTTCTATCTATTCTAAATGAATTTAGAGTAAAAATCACATAAACTAACTTTTTCAGTAGAATATCACGATGTTTTAAATTTCAAAGTCTATCTGTAATAGATTAATTCTAAGTTATATTTTCTCTGTCGCTCTTTTTTTATGTGNTCAATTTCTATCTATTCTAAATGAATTTAGAGTAAAAATCACATAAACTAACTTTTTTCAGTAGAATATCACGATGTTTTAAATTTCAAAGTCTATTTGTAATAGATTAATTCTAAGTTATATTTTCTCTGTCGCTCTTTTTTTATGTGCACAATTATTGAGGCCATCACAAAATTTTCATTCATTTTGTGAAAACTAATTCTAATCATACATTTTCTTTAACTTAGTTCAAAGAGAAGTATTACATAAACATATGTCATAACATTTGACATATGTTTTACACAATCCGAAAATAAAACACTTGTTTTAGTGGGTCAATATGTCCTTAAGTCACAGAAAATTAAACAAAATAAAATCACTATACAAAAATTTCCAAACAATTAGAGAGGGAAAATGTGCTAATTAAACAAATTTGTGGGGAATATATAAGGATAATTCAAAAGTAGGGGGCGGGGGAGGGGGAGTGCCCCAACAAACCATATGTGACTGTCTCTGTTCAGAACATATTGAGAATAATATTCTAATTAGGGAAGAAAAAACTCTTCCTGTACAGCTGATTTCTTGAATGATCAATGTATAAAACTCTTATTTTTCATAAAAAGTTCTGATATTGAACAAGTACTATAATGGTCCCGTATTTATACTTGAGACCTCTTATCAATTAAGCCATCAAATACTAAGATCCGGGAGTAATATTTAACTCGTTGGGTTTTGGAGCCAGAAGTTGATGCAATATTACTGCTTTTGCTAGTGCTTGCACCATCGCAAAGCCGGTTGTTTTCGCCACTTAATCTTCTTCGCCATTGTTAACAACAACAAACCATCGCCTTGAATTAACTAGGAATGACCAAACCTGCACAACCATTCCTGCTTTCAATCCATTACTAACCCTAAACGTGTTCCAAGATTGGGTCAAAACGTACACTGGATTATTCGTGCCACTATGCTTCTTCTTCATGTCCCACTTCCTCAGTTTTATTTCAATTTCTTCAGGGGACCGTCCAACCAAGCTAGCTGATATTTCACCACACTTCTTTCCATTGCGAAGGACCAATGCTTTCTTCTCATCCTCTTCTAGATGAAAACCCTCTTCGATTTTATTTATTGGTATCGATAGCCGGTTATGTTGATTACTAACGTCTGTAGCGAACAAGGATTTTTGTATGACTAAAATTGGCTCAGAACCCCCCAGGGCATTGATTAAATTCTTGACCTCTACGGGTAGATCAGGTTTTGGGTTTGGATCAGTTTGTGGCTTGTTCTTCCTCGGTTTCTTTGGCTTTACAATCTTTGTTCCAGAACTTTCACCTTCGAAAAACTTTCTCTTTGAAGCTGTCTTCTCAAAATTTGTGGTGCAATCCATTGCAGTTAGCTTCAAGAACCCCTCTACTCTCTTTGACTTTTCAACTTTTTTTCAGAACTTTCACCTTCAAAAAACTTCCTCTTCTCAGACTCTTCAGGGCAATCCATAGAAGTAGGCATCTCTACTCTCTTGGTCCTTGGTTTCCTTGGTATATTGTGATACCGAACCTTCTCTTCTTTGCATACATCAAGAGAACTCGAGATTTGTTTACCTTTCTCCACAGAATTCTGTGCTTTCATCAACCCCATCTTTTTTCCCGAATAACTCAATAGAATCAANATCAAGAGAACTCGAGATTTGTTTACCTTTCTCCACAGAATTCTGTGCTTTCATCAATCCTATCTTTTTTCCCGAATAACTCAATAGAATCAACAAGGGGTTGATGTACAATACTCTCATTCGTCGATTGTTGCTCGGTATTCATCGTAAGATTATCCATCATAGCCTCCTTGAGAGTTTCTTTGTCCTTCAGCCCTTGAGAATCAATGGTGGGTTTATCCACAGAAGCCTCAATATCCGTCAACCCTTGTGCATTGTTCATGAAAAGATTGCCTATGATCACAACCTCCTGGAGATTTTCTTCGTTCTTTTTCTTGAATAACTCATAATACTCATTACTCAGAGTAAGATTGGTCATCACAGCCTCCTTAAGAGTTTCTTCGTCTATCAGCCCTTTTTCTCAATTATCTCCCTTGATCACAACGTCTAAAATAGAAATAAAATCCCTAGTAATAGGGATTTCCTTCCTTNTTACTCAGAGTAAGATTGGTCATCACAGCCTCCTTAAGAGTTTCTTCGTCTATCAGCCCTTTTTCTCAATCATCTCCCTTGATCACAACGTCTAAAATAGAAATAAAATCCCTAGTAATAGGGATTTCCTTCCTCTTCACATCGGTCAGAAGTTCAAAAACAAAATCTTTCATGATCTTCACTGCAAGTTGCAACTGCAAAAATCAGATATGGTTTCTTGAGAAAAGTGAGAGGGGTTTACGGTTTCTTAGGAAAATTGAGAGGAATTAAGGTTTTCTTAAGAAAAAGTGAAAGAGGATTAGGGCTTGTTTTGGAGTAGTAAGGTGAAACTTTTGAGGAGAGTGATGAAACCTGGAGAGGACCTGCTATTTATACATAAGCTTAAGTCCTAGTGGCCAAAGAATTCTCTATTTGGGTAGAACTACTCTGTTTGATGTTTATGGTTTCCTAAACAGGCAGAACAATCCTTGTGAAATTTGATAAACTTGATGGTCAAGTCATAATTAGCTGTCTTTTAATTAGTTGGTTTTGGATTTCCAGTAAACTCACTTGTCTAGTTGTGCTACAAGTTTGCATTAAGGGGCAAGATTTAATTGCAATAAGAATCCAATGGCAATGTTGAGACAGGCGAGTATGATATGCTTGAATTGCAAACTGAGTTTGAGATTGAGATGCGAATCCAATAAGATAAACCCTTATATTTTATTTTCATAATCTATATTTAAATTCGTTTAAAATCAAAATACAATTTAATCCAAATGTCCCAATTAAAGTTACATTTTAGCAAAACATAGTCTGATATTAACTCAATTTAATCAAATAATCATTAATATCATCATACATTTAAATAGGGTAACAATTTTGAATAACATTGGCCAAACAAAGTAGGGGTGAGAATGAAGAAATGGGAAGGAATATGATACATTATATGTAATTCCAACGGAACTCATGTTTGATGATTTTGTTTTCCTAAACATGCAGAACAATCCTTATGAAATTTGATTAAACTTGATGGTCAAGTTTTAATTATTTATTTTTTAAAGTTTTTGTTTTCAATTGTCATAAACTCCCCCTTACCGTTTTTGCATATGTTTTGGATTCTTTAACGGGTAAGATTTACTTAACATGAGAATCTATGGCAGTGACGAGAGTATGAGACAGACCAAATCCTAAAGATCAGTCACTAATTTAAAAATTTCTTAAAAGTTTTATCATCCTCACTTTGTATAATTATTTTATCAGCTAAAATTTTCAAATTTTTCTATCTACTTTTCAAATAGTATGATAATAGACAAAAAAAAAATGGGGAAGGATGAATGGGAGGCAGGAGAACGTGTGTGAATTTCATGCATCGCACGAGGCCGCTGATAGTGTTGCTATATGGAAATCAATTTCTATAAACATTAATTTTGGAAATAGAGAGCCTAAAAATGTTACCTACAACATCAATTAGTATGTCTCTATTTGAGTCTTGTCGTTTTGGATTCGTGGCATATATTGTTCAACTAATATCTATCTCATTTAATCCATCATGTTAGATGCTTTGAAACTATTTTGATCTCCTTATTAGCATGTCATATTTATTTTGACTTGTAAAATTTGTGATCTAGAAACCTAGCAACAAGATTCTCTTTTGTCACAAAGGAACCCACGCATCCATTGATCTCCATAAACTAAAAACGTACTCAATTAACATGCTAGTAAAATAGAGTAAAAAGTCCTTGAATTTTACAAGGATTTATACAATACCTATAAAGAAATTTAAAAAAAATAAACATTTTCTTCAAATAGTACATGTTAAACAACTTTATCATGTCGAGACCAAAATTTGACACTCATTTTTTTTTAATAACCCTTTGATCACTCTCTTTTTCTCTTTCTTTTTCTTAGAGAGTTTCTTGTTGTTATAGTCTAAGCATAATATACGATTATGCTTTAACATAGTATACTTGCGCTTTAACATAATAGTACTATGCCATAGTCTATTGTTCATACTATGTCATGGAACATAGAAAAGATTCCCATTGGAAGCGGGCACTAGGGTTTGAACCATATTTTCGTGGTTGAATAATAGTAAAAATAAAATCATTCTTAATTAAAATTGTTGGTTAAAACAATAAATGTGAGTAGCAAGCCCAATCGGTTAAAACATATTTTTAGAATTTGTTGGGCTTTAAGTGCACTCTGAAAATTATGTTGAATTTATGGACATTTTTGTAGCAATTGTAAAAAATACCCCTAATTCCTTATTTTCCTTAGAGAAGAAATCGAATAAAAGTTAATTTACTGAAACCTGACCTAACTTGTAAGTAAAAAATAGTAAAATTTAAAATTAAAAACATAAACATTAAATAAAACAGTTACATGGAACAATAACATAAACACAATGGTGACCAAAACACAATAACATGTAAAACCAAAGACAATAGCATTGAGCACAATAGGGACATAAACAGCACCAATTCACAATATGTTCCAACAATGATGTGAATCAGTAACATTATGGTCCAATAGTCACAATTTATTGAATTAAACAACATACCTTTCTTTCCACAAGTAACACATTATTGTGAATGTTACATAATTAGAGTGTTACTATGTGATGTTATNGTTATAGTCTAAGCATAATATACGATTATGCTTTAACATAGTATACTTGCGCTTTAACATAATAGTACTATGCCATAGTCTATTGTTCATACTATGTCATGGAACATAGAAAAGATTCCCATTGGAAGCGGGCACTAGGGTTTGAACCATATTTTCGTGGTTGAATAATAGTAAAAATAAAATCATTCTTAATTAAAATTGTTGGTTAAAACAATAAATGTGAGTAGCAAGCCCAATCGGTTAAAACATATTTTTAGAATTTGTTGGGCTTTAAGTGCACTCTGAAAATTATGTTGAATTTATGGACATTTTTGTAGCAATTGTAAAAAATACCCCTAATTCCTTATTTTCCTTAGAGAAGAAATCGAATAAAAGTTAATTTACTGAAACCTGACCTAACTTGTAAGTAAAAAATAGTAAAATTTAAAATTAAAAACATAAACATTAAATAAAACAGTTACATGGAACAATAACATAAACACAATGGTGACCAAAACACAATAACATGTAAAACCAAAGACAATAGCATTGAGCACAATAGGGACATAAACAGCACCAATTCACAATATGTTCCAACAATGATGTGAATCAGTAACATTATGGTCCAATAGTCACAATTTATTGAATTAAACAACATACCTTTCTTTCCACAAGTAACACATTATTGTGAATGTTACATAATTAGAGTGTTACTATGTGATGTTATTAATCAAAAAGCTTGAGAATTATGAATGATGTACTGACCCGTATGAAAATTAATCGTTAACCCATTAATTAAAATTCTACTTATTATTCTATGTTATCAATATTTACTTTTAGAAATTTTAAATAAATAAAAGGACCTCAAATATGGATCTCTTACGTGAAAATGAGTCAAATAACTATGATATTGATTATGTTTAATAAATATCTTAAGTGTATGAATGATTTAAAGTGTGTAAAAAATGTGTCATATTATCGATATGTAATGAAAACAAAATGACAAATGTCATCATTGAAGTAAGTGGGTGACAAGTGTCACATTGAGAAGAAAACCACACATATGTTATATGTGCATAAGTGAAAAAACAAAAGAAAAAAAAAAATGACGACAAAAATTGGATAAGTGTCCAGTGTACCTCACCATGCCAATGTAAACCCCTTACATGTAAGTGACGTGAAGGCTCCCACTTTGGCTAGAAATAGCCACGGGACAGAAGCTAACGACCAAAGCAAAGAAGGAGAGAAAAAGGGAGGAAGGAAGAGAGAGGGAGAAAAGGAAAAGGAAAAGGAAAAGGAAAAGAAAAAAAGAGAGAAATTATGTGGACATAAGAGCTCGATTTTACGATTAAAAATTTACGTAAGATTTTTTAGTGATGATTTAATAATTTTATAGGTTCACCTTGATGGGTAATCACTGGAATTTGATTATCATTAAATATTATCACTTCAAATTTGGGAATCGTTATTTTTCTTTATTCACTCCAAAAATTATTTATGGTTTTAGTCATTATTACTTAATTGTATTCTAAATATTACTCCGCTTTGTTTTGCCAAAGTACATGATATCGATTCGAGATAACGTCAAATATATGATTTTTTTTGTCTTTTATTGTTATTGATGCATCTCATGTATATTTATAAATTGCATATCACACCTATGTTATTTATATAATACTAAATATTAGGTTACATTATCCATGGGGTTGGGTTTGGATTTTATTGATAAATCGTGGTTCCTGCACATGTGATATTTTTTGATCGAAATCTTAATTATCTTTTGATATTAATTTGCACATAAAATGTTTTGAGTTTTATTTTGACGTTTACATTTGCCAAAATGTAATTATAGCTAGGGAGATCGCAGAGAAAAGCTACTAATATCATTTTTCTTTATGTTGTACCATAATATATTTTATTTGATCTTGTTTTGATCATGTTAGCTTAAGAATGCAACCTTATCCAGTATATATTTTAATGGTCTAATAATAATATAAATAAACTTATTATGTGTTATAGATAATTTATTCATTAATCACGCCCGTTTGTTTTAGAATGATGGTAGGGAAAGTTCTTGATTCTGTGGCTCGAGTCTGTTCATTCCAAAATTTTAATGAAGAATTGTTCACTGGTGATGACCTAGGGGGGCTCAATAGGATCCAAAAACTTCACATAATGGAGAAGAGTTGTCAAGATCCATAAATGTTGAAACGGGAAAACAGTAATAAAAAAAGGAAGTAACCCATAAAAGTTGACAGCCTGGTAAAGTTAAGGTCCAATAAAATTAGGGCTTGTACT